CTGGCGCGAAGTCCGCGGGCGCCCTAGGGGCTCTTGCTGGGCGGGAACAGGACGAGGAGGAGCAGGAAGATAAGGAGGAGGAGGAGGAGGACGAAGAGGAGGAGGAGGAGGAGGAGGAGGAGGAGGAGGAGGAGGAGGAAGGGAGGGGAGGGGGAGGGGGAGGGGAGCGGAGGGGGGAGGGGGAGGAGGAGGAGGAGGAGGACGAGGAGGAGGAGGAGGAGGGAGGAGGAGGAGAGGAGGATGAGGACGACGAAGAGGAGGAGGAGGAGGGGGAGGAGGAGGGCAAGAAAGATGAGGAGGAGGAGAAGAATAATAATAATAAGAAGAGGAAGGAGAAGAAGAAGAAGAGGAGGAAGAGGAGGAGGAAAAGGAAAAGGAGGTGAAGAGGGGAGGGCGACAAGGTAGAGGATGAGGAGGAAGAGGAGGAGGAGGAGGAGGAGGAGGAAGGGATGGGAACAAAGGGCAAGAGTGAAAAAGGAGGACGGATGACAGAGACCAGGCGATCAGGAGGAGGAGCACGGGCATCGGGAGGAGGAGGAGCTGGCGGAGGAGGACGAGGAGGACGAGGAGGACGAGGAGGACGAGGAGGACGAGGAGGACGAGGACGAGGACGAGGACGAGGAGGACGAGGAGGACGAGGACGAGGAGGAGGAAGGGTTAATGGAGGAGGAGGAGGAGGAGGAGGCGGAGGACGGTGGGGGATTTGGGGCAGGATGACAGTAGGGGAGTACGGGGGTGGAATGGCTACGGTATCTACTGCGAGAGGAATTTCATCTTCTGAGGCGAGGCGGCGTTCCGGTTACAAGAAAGGTTGGAGCTGTGGTTGTCAGGCCCCTGTCGGCCACTCCTCCTCCTCTTGCGCCTTTTTCTGTATTCCCTAGTGCGCCGCCATATCGGCTCACAAGAGCCCTTGAGCTATCGTGGCGCGCCGGTGACGGACGTGCCCACGCCTCCGCAAAAGGAAGGAGAACATGCTCTCTTCTAGCACGGACCCTCCTAATTGTACCTCGTGTCTTTCTGTATCCATTCAGTCACTCCCGCGCAATCCACAATATTTGAGGTTTTCAAGCATTCGGTTGTTTTAAGCTTCATGGTGCTCTCCAGCGGCTGAACCGTATCGAGAACTTTCCAGGGGTGCCCAGATCGCACCGAACAGCGGCTGGAGAGCCAAGTTATGACCCGAAAACCACCGGGGACGGGGATTGGTTCAGGGGGGGGGGGGAAGGGGGGGGGAAGTCCGCTTCGGGGGCCCATCGCCGATCTATCGGCGATGCATCGCCGATTCCAGCTCGATGTGTCCCCCCGCCGAGCTGGCCCCCCTCACCCCCGGGCGCGCCCCCTATGCTGAGCGCGCTGGGCCGCGCCCTTCCCGCCGAAAGGCCGCAATGAATCAATGGCAACGTCGAGAGTGCAGAAGCATATCTTCCGAGGGGGGGGGGCCAGACGGCGCTGCCAAGCTTGACGCTTCCTCCTGCCGGGTCGATCCGATCTGATCCTCATGCCCTTCGCCCTCCCGACACGAGGGCCCTGGGGGCAGCAATCAGAGGCTCCCCTGAGGGGGGGCGGCTTGCGCTGCTTCCGGTGGAGCTCGCGGCGGCACACGGGCGGGCCCCAGGGGAACCTTCGCGGCGACGCAGCGCTGCTCCGCGCCCGCGGAGCCGGAAGGGCATCAGACTCGTTACCTCCACCTTCGATTGCCTCCCAGGCGGGCCAGGGGGCATCGGGCGACGCCCCCGCGGCGCAGCTGGGCGCGGCGGGGCCCGGCGCGGCGGCACAGCGCGCGGAGTTGGCGGGTGCCGCGGAGGGGGGCCAGGAGGGGGGAGCGGCGGAGAGTTGAGAGGGGACGGGGAGAGAAAAGGAGACAGAGAGGGGTGGAGAGGGAGGGGGAGGGAGAGCGAGAGGGAGATGTAGGTGTATATGCTTATGTATGCATACTTGCATGCATGCGCACATACATGCACGCATGCATTCACAGATATATGCACGCATGCATGCATGCATGCGTACATACATACATGCATCCAAATATGTGGATGTGCACATGCATACCGACATGAATGGACACACGCAAGCAAGGACACATACATACCAATATACCTATATGTATCCCGAACTACATACATATATACACACATGCCTCAATCCATCCATCCATACGTACATACATATATACATACATACATACATACATACATACATACATACATACATACATACATACATACATACATATACATACGTACGTACATACCTACATCTATATATATACACATGCATACATGTGTACATACATATATGTGCATACCTACATGCATGCATACGTGCATACATACCTAGATACAATTACATACATATATACAAACATGCATACATGCATACACTCATGTGTGCGTATATGCATGCATACATGTACATACACAGTCATTAATCCATTCATTCATTCATGCATACATACATACATGCATGCATACACACATACATACACACATACAGCTGTACAAACATACATACACACGTACATGCATACATGCATACATGCATACGTGTGTGTGTGTGTGCATGAGTTTCCCTGAGTCTTTGTGTCCTTGTGTCACTGTGTCCCGGTGTCCCTGTGCCTCTGTGTCTCTGTTTCTCTGTGTCTCTGTGTCACCATGTCTCTGTGTCTCAATGTGTGTTGTGTGTGTTTGTTTGTGTGTCTTCTTGTTTCTCTGTGTCCCTGTGTCTCTGTGCCCCTGTGTCTGTCCCTGTTTCCCTGTGTCTCTGTGTCTCTCTTCCTCCAGGTTGGGTACGCGTCAGCTGTTCCCCCTTGCCGAAGGCGCGGCTCGCGGGGGGGGGGGGCGCCAGGTGTTCAGCCCAGCGGCGGGGAGTACCAGTCCCTCTCCGAGGACCGGGCGGGGGCGGCCGCGCTGCGCAGCAGCGCAGCAGACGACGACGACGACGACGACGACGACGACGACGACGACGACGACTGTCGAAAGGGGGTGCCTGCGCAGCACCGCAGCAGAGGCCGTCCGCGACTCGGTCGGTTCGGTTGCGTTGCCTTCGGTCGAGGGCGGTCGGCTCAGTCGGCCCGGCTGGTGCGCGGTTGCCGCATCTGTGCGTCGTTGCGTCTTCCCTTCCGTTGACTCGGTTCTCTCCATCCTCCTCCTCACGCCTCCGTCTCTGCGACCCGAAAATTGACCTTAAGGTAGGTTCGCGTTGTGTTGACGCGGCGGCCCCGCCGCGGGCGTTCGAGGTTAAACGCCGACAGTGTCACAGATTCGATCGGTGCTGAGCGATCCGCCGTTTCACAAAGCGTCGATCGCTCCAAGTGATTCGACCCGCGTCGTGTCAGGGATCAGCGCGGGGGTCGTCACGACACGAGCATGCCGTACCTCAAACGCCGTGTACACGGCGTTTGCAGCAGTTCAGTGGCTTCGCGCTCGCGTCGCCGAGCTTGTCATCGTGCTGCGTCCGCTCACCCACCCACCCGTCCGAAATAGCGCTGGGGGGGGTGAGGGAAACGAGCAAGCAAAACGCCGGACATCTTGGCGACGGAGCCCGTGTTCTCGGCGTTTCTGTTCGTCGCTCATCTGAAGAGCTCATCTTCGTCGAACCCCGTCCTCGGTAGGCCATGTCTCCTACAACACACACAGACACACACACACACACACACACACACACCTCCGTAGCCATTTTGGCTCAAGATGGCGGGGGGTGGGCAGCAGCTCGAGTCCCTGGGACTTCTGCTCGCCGTCCCTCCCGTCGCAGGACAAGAAGTTCCTCTTCGCGCGCCCTCGGCGCCCAGTGCTTTCTTTCTCGCTCGCCCTTGCTCCGCCCAGTCTGGCCCCTGGGAGCAAGAGGCTCACTTTCCGACCCGATGCCCGCGGGTGCTGCGGCTTCTGCTCCTGGCACCCCTCGTGCTGCTACTGGTGCTCCATCACCTCGGGCATCTGGCAGCGCCGCTGCAGCTGACGGTGGTGGCGACCCACTGGCGCAGCCTGGAGCTGACCCCTGGGCCAAGCGCCCCCGCACCGCGGACGGAGGTCCCGAGCGTGCTGCTGGGTCGCAGGACCCCATGGACGCAGTGCAGGCGGCCATCGCTGCATCACAGGACTTCCTCACGAAGCAATTGGACGCGAAGCTGGCTGCTATCAAGTCTGAGGTCATCGCGAACTTCGGAGAACAGCTCAAGGGCCCCCTGGCGGCGGTGGTGTCCCAGCAGGCCTCGCAAAATGCTCAGTTTCGAGGTGAGATCACAGAGCTGCAGTCAGCCTCCCAGCGCCTGGAGGACTCGAACAAGCAGATCTGGTCCCAACTGGCGGAGCTACGCAAACAGCTCCACATGCAGGAGGCGCAGATCCCGATCAAGGATTACGAGAACCTCCTGGAGTGGGATCGGGCCGCCGACACCAGCATCATCGTGGCCACGGCCGCGGAGAATTTCTCCCTGGAGCGTTTCAAAGAGAGCATCCAGCCCATCATGGATCGCTGCGAGTTGGAGTCTGATCAGTGGTCTATTCAAGGCAAAAGCCCCGCCCGTCGCTACGTGGTCCAGTTCTCAGGGGATGCCAACTCCGCGTCCCGCAAGGTGCGCCGCTTCTACTCCAAGCTCAAGAATGCGGACGGCTCCTGGCTGGAGACGGAGGTGGCAAACATTCACGGACAGAACTCCCGCCTCTACTTGGGCCTTGACAGATCAGCGAAGTCCGCCCGATGCGAATACCAATCTAAGAAGTTGGCGCAGTTCGGCAGAGAGCACGCTCCTGACAAGCGCTGGCGCGCTGATCGCCAGCAGGGCATCATCTTCTGCAACAACATGCCTGTGGTCTCAGTGGTGGTGGGCGCCACGCGTGAGACACCGTCTCGCCTCCTCTTCAACTATGAGGGCTGCTCCACGCACTCGATCAACAGGGAGGCCATCAAGAAGAGCTTCGAGGACTACTTCAGGACCACCCTCGAGGAGAGGGAGGTGCAGTGGCGGATTTAGCCGCACGCTTGCCCCGTGGAGGGCAGCCCACATGCAGCCGCAGGTCTCCTTCACCACGTGGAACGCCCGTGCCCTCTTGTGCAACAACATGACGCAGCGCCGACGCAAGACACAGTGCATGGTGGAGGCGCTTCGCGCCACCTCGGCGCTTGCTCTGCAGGAAGTTCATGGGTCACACGCTGAGCTCCAACATGCTGTACACCTGGCCCACATCGAGGCGGCGATCTTCTCATCCATCCCAGAGCGTGGCACTGGGGGCGTGGCCATCATCGTCCCTGGACTCCCGCAATCCGTGGCTGCCGACGAGTCCCGCTTCACGCACACCGAAATGGTCCCTGGTCGAGTGCAGCGCCTCCTCATCAAGACCGTGACGGAGGCTGAGGCTGCCCAAGGGTCTCTCCCGAACATGGTGGTGATCTACAACGTCCACAACTTCAGGCTGACTGCGCAGGAGGTCGACAAGGTCACGCGATCTCTTCGCGCCGAGGTGTACACTGCTGCCCAGCAACCGGAGCGGATCACGATATTGGTCATGGGCGACTTCAACTTCATGGACGAAGCCCCGCTTGAGATGACTGCGCCCCTGGTCAACAAAGGCCTCCCCCGCCTCCGACGCCATAACCCAGAACACCAGCTGGCTTGGGAATCGGTTCTCTCGGACATGACGGAAGTGGACCCCGAGATCCCCACGCACTACATTGAACAGTCTCGGCAGTGTTCACGCATTGACAAAATCTACATCAGCTCGCCGCCCTGGTTACTGCTCCAATGGCGTGCCCGTGCTGATGTCCCACTCGCTCCCGAAGATCTCTACGATCGAGGAATATCTGACCGCGCGCCTGTCCACCTCCGCTTCGCACATCGACAACAGGAAGATGATGGACTGCGTCAGCCGATCCCGAAGTATATCTTCGAACACCCGCTCTTCGGGCAACACCTGGACACTCTGCTGGCAGCCTCCCCGTGGCAGTCCTATGTCCCGTTCACCCAACTCCGAGAACTTAAGCGCCTCCAACGTGAAGCTGTTCGCCTGACTCGCGACGACCTCACCAATTCGAGAGCCCCCTGTACTGCTGCTGCGCTGACGACCTGCCGATCGATTTCCCGTGCAGTATGGAGGAACGACGAGAAAGCGGCCCGCACTCTGGCTGCGCGAACGGAGCTTGGCGCCTCCTTCCTGGACCTCTCGTCTCTCCCGCAGGTTTCGCTCAAGGCGCCTCTGGAGTTCAGCCGAAAGTTCGAGTCCCTGCAACAACAGCACCAAGATGAACGATTGGAAGCACTTCACTCTCAGGAGATGGCGGCTGGCACTCCTGCTCGTGAACGTCTTCGTCTTCGGAGGATGCAGAGGGCGATCACACGGCGTGGCAAGCTGTGGGCACCCTCTGGGAAGGTTCTGAAGCTCAAGGCAATCGAGGTCCTGCATGACCACTCCAAGACGTCCAACCCCGACGAGATGATTGCGGAGCTACAGAAACAGTGGGCACCAGTCTTCCAGCCGAAGCCGAGCTCCACACAACACGTGCAACGTTACCTCGAGAAGCATGTGAAGAAGTTCGACTGCTCGGACATGGGCATCCCCACGCTTGGCAAGATGCAGCACCTCATCCGCTCCCTGAACAACTCGGCTCCAGGACCTGATGGTCTACCGTACATGGCATGGAAGAAGACACCGATCGCTGCACAAGTGCTCCTCAATGTCACGATCGAGATCATGAGAGGTCTCCCTGTGCCCATGGACTTCAATGAGTCGCTCCTGATCTTCACCCCTAAGGGGTCTGAACCTGAAGACCGCCAGACCGTGACAAGGCTGGCGAAGGCTACGCGCCCTCTCTCCCTCAAGAACACGGACTGCAAGATCGTGGCAGCCATGGGCAACTTCCTGATCAAGGCCATAGTGGCCAAGGACGCGCACCATGCACAGAAAGGCTTCCTCCCTCGTCGTCGCTTCATCGAACACGTGGTCATGATGGATGCGCAGTCGAGAATAGTGTCTATGGCGCCGCAACTCTCGGAGCGAGATCCCCTGATGATGATGTTCGACTTCGGCGACGCGTTCCCCTCGATGTGCCGCCACTTCCTTCGCACCGTGCTGCTGCTGGGGGGCTTCCCTCCGTCGATTCTCAACATGGTGGATGCCATCTACCTGTTCCCACTGGCCTGGACCAACCTCAGCGGTCACTTGCGCATCGTCTGCTGGCTGGGCTCTGGCATCCTCCAGGGCTGCCCCTGGTCTGGGACGCTCTGGGCGGTCGGCATGGACCCGCTGATCAGGGACCTCTTCCACCGCACGCGCCACTTCAAGCAGGCCGTCATTGGCGTCTGTGCCGACGATGTGGGATCGGTTCTCCCGTCGATGCGGATGCTGAAGCCGCTGAGCCAGGTCTTCGCCGCAGCAGAGAAGCTTGCGAAGCTCACTCTCAAGACGATCAAGTGCAAGGTGGTGCCGCTGGCCGAGGAGTTCAGCTCTACCTTGCATGATCGGGCCCTCGAGAAGTTAAAGGCCATGGTTCCCCGCTGGGAGCACATGCAAATCGTTCCGATGGCTGAGTATCTGGGTGTGCTGCTGGGCCCCGCGGTCACCAACGAGATGAGATGGATGAAGGTGGTCGAGGGCTGGAAGGTCGTGGCTCACTCGATCGCGGACATGCATGCCCCCACCAGCACCAGCATCATGCTCTACAACCAGCGCGCGGCGTCGAAGGCCTCCTACATTGCCCAGTTGGCGCCTTGGCCCGCGCGCCTCAGACGTCAGGAGGCTTGGCTGCTGCACCGCATCTGGCATATACCGCCACAGTCTCTACGCCTGACCGACATACTCAGCATCGGCCTATGGTCTCGCCCGCTCAAGATCGTCTCAATGGAGTACTCCACGATATCTGCTCTAGTCCGAAGCGCTAAGGAGACGATCATGAACTGGGACCTCTGGCTTCGACGTCTGCGCATCGTGGTTCAGAATGAACTGGAGTTCCAGCACTTCGGCAACCTGCACAACTTCGCCCCGCGGCACTGGAAGGAGCCCCCATTTGCGTGGCACCTCCACGAGGCGGCGACGGGGTTCAAGGACCAACCGCGCCCTGAGCCGCTGATGAAGGCCTGCCGCTCTGCTTTAGCTGCCTGGCGCGTCGCCCAGCAGACGGCAGGTGCAATCCCGCCCGGTGCCCGAACCCACCTACAGCGCTTTGTCCACTCCCATCTCCTCTCCTCGCTCCTTGATGCCTCCTCCCTCGTCCACACCTTTCTCTCGCGGCTGAAGCTGTGGCAGTTGCCTGGGACGGAGTTGCCTGCGGAACCGATTGAGTGGGCGCCCGTCCTGGAACTGCTGAAACAATTCCCACCAGCAGGCCAGTCTGCCCTGATCAAAACTTGGTCAGGCGCCTGGACGACGTCGCGACGACTGCACCGCTCGTCAGGAGATCAGGCCTGTGTATTTGGGTGCTCGCGCGTGGAAGACCCTGCTGCGTTTGATACCATGCCACACTATATGTCGTGCTCGCACCTTTGGCACGCAGTCTGCATGGCCTGGCATGTGCGTATTCCTGCCCCTGCGTGCCTGCCCACCCGCCTCGGATTGAAGGTCGGAGAGTCGGGGGCTGCGCACCGCATGGCTTTCGAGCGAGTGATCATTGCTTTCCATACTTACAATATCCAGGCCAGGCTCTGCCAGGACGCTTGGTCCTCCCCTGGCGCTGCAGTTGCCAGTGCGAAGGCGGGGCGGGCCTTGCTTCTTCATACATATACGGTGCCCGCCTAGGCCTTTTGCCTTCTCGGACATCTCTGAACTACGAGGGACACACACACACACACCTGACGGCAATGCAGCAAGCAATCCGAGTTCTGGACGCTTGTGGCGCGAGGAACATCCAGCTCGACATCCATAGTTAATTGGCGGTTAGTACAGAGCCCTGGGCGTTTACCGAACAGTCTTGCCCTGTTCGATCTCTTTCTCAGGTGCGTTTGCTAAATGGCTGCACTTGTCGGGGTGCTTATCATGAGGGTGTTTTCCTGCTTTCTAAACCAACAAACGAGCCGAGTACCGGCCGCCTGCGGTGCTCTCTCTCTGCCGCTTGGGGGTCTTGCTCGGACGGAGCTGGGACGAGGATAAATCCGTTCCAGAGCGTTCCAGAACGCTCTCAGAGCGTTACAGAACGCTCTGAGAAGGCCGCGGCGCCCGATACATCCTCCAGAGCCGCCGGATCTCAGAGCTCTCGATTTCTCCTCGCCCGATGTCATCCTCGTCCTGGCTTCATCTCAGTCCTGCTCGCCTGGCTCCCCGGCCCTGGGGCCCCTCCTTCGGAGCGCCGACCGACCGCGGACCTCGGCCGCATCCCGGCCCCCTGGCGGGGCGCCCGCCCAGAGCGGGGGCCCCCAAGCGGCGCGGTGACCACAGCGCGTGGTGAGGCAGCGGGCACCTGGCGCTCGGCGGGAACGTTCCTCCTCCCTGCCTCCCCGACCTCGTCGTCGTTGTCTTCCTCGTGGCTGCACGGAGCTTGCCCCACGCAGAGCGCGCTTGTGGGACGGAGCCTGCCCGCGCGGCGCAGCAGCACACCCTCACATGCAGCCTGCCTCCGCCGCTCGCGCACGTGCTGCAGCATCGCTTGTGCGCTTGTCCTGGAGGGAGGGCGGTGTCGGCAGCACATGGTTTTCGGCGTTTTTTTTTCGGCGTTCGATTGGCAAGGCAAGGCCGGGTCGAATCGAATCGGTCCATAAGCGGACGGGGGCAGAAAATTATGAATTCAAGTGGGCGAAGGGAAATTGGCATGCTGAATTGGGCTCAGAAATCTTGGGCGTAGCCCTCAGCCTGCGCACGCAACTTCCTCTGGTCTCGAGAAAAAAGGAGCAGGAAAAGCAGGATGATAAGCAGGAGGCGGAAGAGGTGGAGGAGGAAGAGGAGGAGGAGGAGGAGGAGGAGGAGGGCAGGAGCAGGAAAAGAAGCAGGATGAGGGGGAGGAGCAGAAGAAGCAGCAGTATCAGCAGCAGCAGCAGGGTGGACCAGGGGGGGCCGCAATATGGGCAGGGACAGCGCAGCGCCGTCTCCAACTTCTTCTTCCCGGACCAGGACTGGGGGCTGCGGTCTCCTTGTGCGGTGATGTTGCCTCGCTCCCCTTCGGCCTCTCCTCCCCCTCCTCCTCCTCCTCCTCCTCCTCCTCCTCCTCCTCCTCCTCCTCCTCCTCCTGGTCCTCTTCTTCCTCCTCGTCCTCCTCCTCCTCCTCCCAAGACTGGGAAGTTGGCAGAGTGTTGTAAGGGCCCACCAGCCACGGGGCGCGAGTATCTAAAACGTCTTCATTCGGAACGTTGACCCAGATCCTTCGGCAAAGCTGAGCCCGCCCAGAGAAGCAAACACCATCGCAAGGTGCAGGCGGACCCATTATATCGTTACGCGACCAGGCAGAGTTTCTAGAGTCTCATCCTCTTCCTTGTTATTTCCCTCCTCCTCTTCCTCCTCCCCCTCCTCCTCCTCCTCCTCCTCCTCCTCCTCCTCCTCCTCCTCCTCCTCCTCCTCCTCCTCCTCCTCCTCCTCCTCCTCCTCCTCCTCCCCCCAAACCCCCAGTTTGGATGCCATGCTTGCTTCCCCCTCCACCTCCTCCCTCCCTCGGGGGGGAAGGAGGAGGTGGGGGATTTGCGACACAGGCGACCCATGCGAGGTGGAAGGAGGAGGTGGGATGTTTCGTAATAGTTTTCCTCGATACGACATCGAGAAGAACTTCCGCGACCACCTGGAAGAGTTGCGCCACACGTGCAACGGCCAAAAGAATTTGCTACCACCAGAGTACACGATCCCAAACATCACCTTCAAAGAAAAGAAGTCGAAGCACGACAAAAATACGAAGACCGCCACGAACACATCCCACCAGAGCCCCCACATATACCGATGCCACCGACACAGACCAACCTCGACGCACTGGCAGACCACTGGCAAGAATACCCCGGAGCACGCTACGATACTTCAGCATCAGAAGACAACATCAGCGACAGAAACGACCCATGAGCCAATATGAGCAGAGCATTCGACTTCCACGAAGCTTGCCTATCGCCGCTCAATCCAAACAGATACCACGACATGCACCGACCCAGTGGTTGGACCGCTTACTGTCAGTACGCCGGCGATGCTGACGAGGAATTCCAAGCAGAAAATCATTGGCATCATGCAGTATACGAGCACGGAGCAACCAACACATACACATTCATATTCCCTAACGACGACCTTCTTCTGCTTGGACGGCACAGATACCTCAGCAGGCACAACAACGAGATTTTCGCTCACCAAGACGGCAAGCAGTATCTACCACACCCACCACGACGACCCGACTCCAAGCCACGCTATTATCGACTTACACACTACATGCTACGACCTGCACAAAACTGATCGAGCTAAAAAACGCCGTCGAAGCAAACACGCACCAACCGCTGCACAAGCCGCCCAAACACCCAACCTTCTCACGATACGGGATCGACTTGCAAGTACTCCCGGCACAATACCGTGACAGTCTAACACTAACAGTACAAGTCGTCCAGACCTACGACCACCTCGTCACGCTGATCGCAGGAGGGCATGCACCGCTCGACAATGTCAAGATCGCCGCCGCACAGGAAGTCGCACAATGGTTCAACCCTTGCCACGACGAGCGCGACATCAGGAAGTACAACTGGGCAGTATGCTTACGCGACACAGCTCGCCTACTACAGCGCGTCTGCAATCCATCTGACCCAAGGCCACATACCACCAGAAAGCACCACGACAGCGACAGCTCCAATGATGAAGACAGAATTACCAGCACAAAACAAAAGACCCAGCAAACACCAACCAAACCACCACCACCACCAGCGCAGCCCATCATGCTCTAGCCACCTGCACCCACGCCACCACCAGCTTGGACAGCTAGTAGCACCCCGACCAGCCCAACCAACACAGACGACACACAAACTAAGCAGCGGAGCATCAGACTACACAGCAGCCCGTGCAAGCTAATGCACTAGCACAACCAGCAGCCGCAACGCAGGACAAACGCGACCAAAACAAAACACGATCCTAAGGAAACCCATGCCAAAGAATCGCATCAGCAAGACGACCACGACAAATACGACTGCGCCAAACCAGAGACCTTACAAGCCATTTCTAGCTCACTTGGTCGAATTAAATAGCCAAGCTGGCTGCCCAGCAGCCGCCGAACACGCCCAATACCAACAACACAACAACGCCGAGAAAGACATCCTCACCTACATTCGCCGCAATGATATGGTCACCATCGCACATCTTCCCACCGGCACACCCACCACCACCTGCACTTATGATACCTATCATACACCCACCAGACGAGGACATCAACACACAGCAATGGGTACAAGCTATCCCTCGGCGGCAGCTAGCACCGCAGACGCTGGCGACGCGACGCACCTACTTCCCGACGCTCGCCGCTGAAGCGATCGCAACGCACTGCGAAGCAGCGCGACGCGGAGAGCAACACATACACATCTTCAACCGACATGTCATCTCCATCAGCAAACAAGGCTGGTGACCCCACGCTCCAGCACTACATCGACAGGCTGCGAGCGCACCATTCCCGCTACGAGGTCCACTTCAATTGCGTGCACGAACAAACACACGGAGCACCATTCAGGGAACCACCGCCCAAGCGCATTGCAACGATGCACAAGGCCGCTCCCAAGCCCAAGCCGACAATCACCACGACGAGCCAGCCCACTTAGACATGGCGACCGACCTCCACCACTCAAAACATATGGCAGACTACCGCATCATCCTCAACCAGCACTCCAGGTGGGTCAATTTCCGCAGGAGGACCCCTACTGATAAGGCAGCACGACCAAGCCAGCAGTCAGACAGTCCACATAGACCACTGACTCGCAATGCGCTCATTCTCCGTCTCCATTGCGGCATTGTTGGATCGTCAGTGGTACTCCTTACCTTGTAGGTGTGAGATAACAAAAAACCTGGGTGGCAGCCCTAGGATTGATTTTTTCGTTAGTGCACGTTACTCCCTATGCCTCTCGCTACTTGACTTGCAACGCGCTCCTCCTCGCGGCCTTTTGACGCGTCAGTTGTAGTCCTTTTCTTGTAGGTCCAGAGTTTGCCCCACCCTGGGTAGCAGCCCTGCGATTGTTTTCTCTGTCGCGCGAGCCACTCCCATCGCCTCCTGCATCTTGCCGTCATCTGTCTGCCCCCCGCAGCCAGCCCAGACGGCGCCTATTCTGGGGGCGCGAGGGGCGAGCTTGTTTGGAGGCGTCGGGGCGGGGGGCAGCTAACCCGCAGAGATATTAGCTGCGTTTGCCCAGCTTCGGCGAGCCTCGCAGCGCGTGCCCAGCCTCGCTTTAACTTCGCCCTCTTGCCACGTGCTCCCCTGCCTCCTTCTGCGCGGCCACGCGACGCGTTGGCGGCGCGCAACCGCCCGCAGGTCATGGCCAATAGATACTTTGAGGAAACCTGATACAGGTTATCCCCCACGCGCCAGGGCGCCAGGCGCATGCCCCACTGCGCCGCTCTAGCGATGCCTTTTTGCACTTCAGATTGACCGGTCGCGCGGTATTACATCCGGGCAAACCCCACTTGTCGAGTGGTTTTGTTGCGCCAGGCCCGCCCCCGCACACAGGTCAGCCCAAGATGAAGATCCCACAGCGCAGTACTCAGACATCGCATATCAGACGGCCCCGCGGCCAAGATTATAACACACCCTCACTTCGTCGTCCCCGAAGACTCCGCGTGAGCAATCTGCCCGCGCACGAGTTCTGGCGGCACGGCCCTTGCAGAGAGCGCAGCTCACAGTGCCCTGACGGCAGCGCTCGCCACGGACAGGGCACGCTGTCACACTGATCAGCCAGCTTGCAAATGCCAGCCTGCGACACATATCATAGGACTGCTTGCTGGACAATCTGGGTTCGCGCTGGGCCCGAGAACGACCGCGCGAAAAGCGCGAGGGCTCCTGCGCCGAGATGGCTCGGAGCTAACCCAAATACCTTGGGCGGCAACCCTAGACCTGCTACGCTTTGCTGCGCGTTGCCACGGCAGCTCGCGCGACCCACCTCTTTCTCACCATACCTCCTACCTCGCTCTCTCCACGAGGCCGGCAACGCACTGTTGCCAGTCGCTTCCTTCGATGCACCGCTGTCGCTGCCCTGCATATCGCGCTTTTCTTCGCAACAGCCCCATGTTTACTCCGCCGCGCGCCCGCGCCTCAGTTGCGGCCGAGACAGGCAAGCCTACCAGGCAAGCCTAACTACTGCACGCTGAGACTCATGATGGAGGACAGCTAACCTGCAGAGATACCATACTTGTTTGACTAGCTTCGGCAAGCCTCACAGTGCGTGCCCTGGCCCAGTCAAATCTCGCCCCCCTATCACATGCTCCCCCACCTCTTCCTGCGCGGCTATGCGACGCGATGATAGCACGCCTACCGTCTGCAGGTCATGGCCAATAGATACTTTGAATAAGCCTGATCCCAGGTTATCCTCCACCTATCAGGGCGCCAAGCGCATGCCCAACTGCGCCGCTCTAGCGACGCCTTTTTGCACTTCAGATTGACCAGTCGCACGACGTCGGTTTTGTTGCACCGGGCCCGCCTCCGCACACGGATCAGCCTATTATGAAGATCTTACAGCGCAGTACTCAGACATCGCATATCAGACCGCCATGTGGCCAGGACTAGAACACACTCCTCTGTTTTGCGCCCAAAGACCCTGCGCGCGCAATTTGCCCACGCACGAGTTCTAGCGGCACAGTCCTTGCAGAGAGCGTAGCCCACAGTGTCCTGGCAGCAGTGCTACACAGACAGGGCACGCTTGCACACTGATAGGCCAGCCTACAAATGCCAGCCTGCGACATGTATCATAAGATTGCTTGCTGGGCAAAATGTGCCCATACTAAACCCGAGAATAAGTATTCGAAGAGCGTGAGGGCTCCAGTACCGAGGCGGTTCGGGGTAAACCCACAAACCCCTGGCGGCAACCCCAGACCTGCCACGCTTTATTGCGCGTTGCTATGGCAGCTCGCACGACCCACCCCTTTCTCATCATACCTCATACCTCGCTCTTTCCACGAGGCCAGCA